GATGTCAATGGACCGATTGAAATTTGCTTCCATGTTTTTATTCTTTTTTTGCCATAGAACCAAAATATAGGTTTTACTTTATTGTAACTCTTAATCGTTTTCATTTCTAATGAAATATTTACACTCTTAGCAAAAAAAAAAACATACGAACATCTTTAATTTCTTTTGATGAGAAACATACAAAAAACGGTGGACTTATATGAGTTATATCTCGTTTTATTTTTTGGTAATCTGAGTTATATCTCGTTTTATAAACGCAAGAATGTTACAATTTTTTTAATATATATAATTTTTTCATAGAAACGATAAAATCTCTGAACAATGATTAAATAGAACGATGCGTTTAATTGGTGAAAAATGGCATATTTTTAGTTTAAAAATTACAATAAAAGAAAATTAGAATTCTTGAATTAAAAAAATAAAGAATTCGAACTGAAAACTCTATGAGATACGTATGTGTTTATCGTTAAAGTAGTTGTTGCTATTCTTGCGTATGATTTGAGCGAGCGCCTTTGGTTTTGAACTTGAAATAAGTTACAAATTTTGCAAGTTTTTAAGAGATTTTTTGTTTAAATGATTTTCCTTTTCTACCCCACCTATTATGGAAACTCTCACACGTACTATTTCCAAAAAATTCTTCAAAGCAATGATTTTTTTTTTTTTCATTTGTTACAAAATTTGACTTCACTAATTTAGAATAATTTGCGTACGTACTAGACTACTTTTTTTTTTTTAAACTTAAAAAGATTGATGGGAAATTGGTTTGAGTTTTCTATTTCCTCACCTTTAATTTGTCTTTTCCTTTTTCTCCCTTTTCTTCAACCCATTTGAATCAACTTTCTCAACTTCATGTTTCTTTCCATGTTTAGTGTTCACCAATTATAGGAAAAAAAAAGGTCATGTTACAATTTAAATTTTTAATCCATTAATTGGACATAAACTTCATTTTTTTGCCAAAACAAAGATTTCATTTCGCCGAAGGATTGATTAATGGTTTTTAATTTCATTAACAGATTGAGTCTCATATTTTTTAAAAAAAATTAGGGTTTGATAATGGATATGTACACAATGGTTGATTTATTCAACACCCTCTTTTTTACCTTTTAACACGCCACATCATCTTCTCTCTCTTCTTCCTAATAATTCAACATTCATTTCAATTTTAATATTTACTATAGTTTTGTTTAATTAAATTCAACACTCTACCCCACTCTTTTATTTCATATTATTTTTCTTATTTTTGTTTTTTGTTTTATGATTATATACCAATAATGATTAGCGATCAAAATAAAATAAAATAGTTAAGAGTTAATAAAATTTGTATTTTTCTTTTAAATTCTTTAAAAAAAATCAAAGTAATATAAAAAAAGAAGAAAATATAGAAATTCATTATGAATAGTGGGACTGGGATTGGATAGGATGGTGCGTTTAAAAGGGTAATTAGAAGTATTTTGAGTGTTAAATAGATTATTGTTAGGATCAATTTCACAAAAAGACGTTTTTTTTTTCTTTGTCCGAATCAAATGAAATAAGTTTCTATTTATAGAGTATAAAAAATGATGAATTTTGATATACCTAAAAATAAAAAAATAATTTATTTACTATAAGATAACTGATCTTAAATATTTTGGTGGAAAGAAAAAATCAAGAATCCTTAACAGCCAATCAAAAAATAGCACATATATTAATTTGTATTTTAATTCAAAAGTAATTCTCTCTACCAATTTAAAAACGCTACATGTACATGTTAATATTCTCTTACGCATTCAACATGTTGAAAGAATTCAGCACCAATTAATCCACATCAGCCTTTTTCTTTTTTCAACAAACCATTGTAATGATTGAACAGTTTAATAAAATGATTCAACAGTATTGAAAAGTTTAATTCTTGAAGACAAGTCTAAAGCTTTTTCCTTTCTTTACTTTCTTTGCACAATAAAGCTCTTCTTCTTTGCATGAATGTTTGTATGGTTCTTTGTATTGAAAGACATCTAAATACAAATTTTTGAATTTTTTTTTCCGTAAGAACCAATTGGTTCTTAACCATTGGAGGACTAATTTTTTAAGATATTCTCATTTTGTTCTTAGCTTAGAAATAGCAAAATTTTAATATAAATAATTGTTAAGATTCAAGGTTAAGAACCATTGGAGATTCTCTTACAATGGTGAGTTGAATTTTTTTATTAAACTGTTGAATCATTACAATGGTTTATTGAAAAAAGAAAAGGGTGATTTAAGTGTATAACCAAATCTGATAAATAAATTAAGAATATAGCACCTTAATTTTGAAAACAAAATACATAACCATCATACATTGTAAAATGACAAAACTACCCCTATGTGTAGTACACGTCTGATAGGTGCTGGAAAAGGGGAATATTCATTTTGTTATTTAATTTTTTTTTTGTTTGAACTTTGAACAAAAAAACGTTTACCCCCTCATATTTGTTTTTAGAAAAGTTCTTAAAAATAAATTAATTAAAATTTTCAGTTCTATTAGAAAAAGTTTAGATTTTTTTCTGATTATATCATAGGGTTGAATTTTTCAAAACAGACATAAACATTTTACGTGGTGAATAGTCTTTGTAACAAAAAAACATATGTTATACTTATACTATATAGGATCACACAAAATATATGTTGTACTATACTATTTTTTATAAATGATATTTAAATCAACTTAAACTTAAAAATACTAAACCCTAAATCCAACCGTCTAAACCCAAACCCAAAACATATTTTTTAAAATTGATGATATCAATAAATTTTAAAATTGAAAATAATGAATTTATTTAGAAAAATAGAATAGAACATTGTAGTGTTCTATTTAGTACGAAGGTCATGGAGCGGGCCGAGACAATGGGTTAATTCGTCTACCAAATCAAATCGTTTTAATGGTAGCTCTGCAATGGCTGTGACTTCTACATCTACACAAAGTGGCAATCGGATAAGATTTTACAACATCGGAATCGGACGCAACATCGGAATAGGACGATCGAACCTTTACCGATGATTACATCATCATCTCCTTAAGGAGGAGGACTTATAGACTATTATGTTGGTGTCGTTGTTGACTGTTTTTGGGCGATGACGGAGAGAGATATGGCGTCGTGAAATAAGTTGCAGGAAAAGAAAAAAAATAAGAATAGGAAGAGAAAGAGATGATAGTTTGAGGTTAAAGACATGGTGTTACGTGGTGTATCACAACAAGGGTAAATATGTATATACTACACAATGTATGCCAAATATCATAGCCCAATTTTTTTATGGTTATTTGTTGAATTATTAATTTTTTGATGGTTATAGGCTCAAATTTTCCAAAAGAAAAAGGCTGATCTGGATTAATTGGTGTTGAATTATTTCAACACGTTGAATCCGTAAAAAAGAATATTTTTATAGTAGGCTAGTGAATTCATTCTCATTTTTGTGACCCCACACGACATGGAGGTTATGCATTGTCTTTTGGGAGCATCTCCTTTTGGCTCTAATAGCAGAAATCGTGCAAAACCTTGATGGAAGATTAGGGCAGCGCCGTGTTTTCCTGACCATAAACGAAATAAAGCTTTTAATTTAATATTTAAATATTCCATATAACATAAAATTGTAGTTTATAATTTAAAGATTTATAATATACCTAGTACACAAGTGTATGCAAAATTTATGAAATTGACATGTCGACAAAAAATAATTACAAAAAAAAACGAGAATTTAGATTGACCAAAACATGTAGTCAACTTCGGGACGCTTGGGAATGATGTGGAAACAAGAGTATTATATCATTTTCCGCTTGGGAATGATTGGGAATGATTTGATTCAAAGAAAGAATTGAATAAAAAAAAAGAAATAATCTATATAATAATAATGTTAACATGTTTATAGCTTATGGAGAGAACGCAATAGCAGGCGGCATGGTGAGACTACTATTCCGGTTTCGAAACTTGTAAAAATCATCGATAAAAATGTTCGAAACAGATTTAACACAATCCAACGGTTGCGGAACTCAAAATTTGTTGGCGGCCTGCAGTTTTGGTTCCATACCAGCAGTTTAAGCTCTACCTAATTATGTTTAAATTCTTTTAAATTCTCTCAAATAGAAGAAGCATTTATTGTAACAAAACGTTTTTTGGTGAATAAATTTTACATTCATACAAAAAGAAAAATGTTACATGTTGTCAAAAAGAAATGAATAAAAAGAAAAATAAATTGGTCCAAAAATGTTAACATGTAATCAACGTCCGGACGCTTGGGTATGATTTGATTGAAAGAAAAGAAAAATTTTCCACCCAAAAAAGCAAGAAAGAAATGAATCCTATGTAATGAATCCTAATATTATAATACAAACGAGAGGGTACGAGAAGAAGAATCAAATCCTATAATAAATAGAAAGATAGTATTCTTAAGTTGGAATAATACGAATTAGGGAATTTTTTTTTAATACTCTTGTAACATATTTTTATTGAAGAAAATTGGACAAAACCTCCAAATAACTACGTAATTTTGATTAAGTGGTTAAGTCCACCTGAGTCCGCCTTCTCCACCGGAGTTCGACTCCACTAAGTCGCGTTATCCCGTATAGTAGGGATTGACTATGGATCGGACCTTGTTGATCCAAAGATGTAAAAGAAAAAAAAAAATTACGTAATTTTGATTTAAAATTTGGTGACTTTGACAATGGGCTTAGCAAATGCATACAAAAGTTTGTAATTCTTTGGATGAATATGAAGCAGCCGAACATGTATCATATATATGGTCAAAAACCCAAACATCAATCCGCTTCAAATGATATAATGCATTTTCCTATACAGACTACAGTATATAGTTAATGTAAAGACTTTTTCTTGCATAATTGATTATAAACTCACAAAATGTGTTGTTTCAGCTTTAATATTTAAGCGGTTGGGAGACATGAACCAGATAATTGGGGCTTATTATTTCACTTCGTTCCAACCCAAATCTCTAAAATGATCACAAAAGTTGTTTTTTTTCTTTGCCTTCAAATGAATCTCAATGGTCTTTTAGTCCTTACCACAGTGAATCACAGACATGAGCATGTGTGTATGTCTACTACCTAGATGAGTTTCTTTTTCTCAAAGAAAGTTTTCAAGTGCCAGAATTGTAGACCAGCCACCGATAAACAAACCATAAGCGACCCGAAACTCAACCACGCCATCTTCGAGTTTGTGGATCTATTCAGTTCTTGCATTTCCTCTTCCCTAGTCACACCAAACCAAAACACAATAACAAGTATTAACCTCATCATCTCTCTCTTCCGACCCAACAAAAACTAAGGCTAAAAGGTTTGTTCTTTGTCAATTTAATTTACCTTTCACGAAGATAATACATCTCCTCATGGATGGAATTAACAGTGTCCATCAAGGTCTTAACCTGATACTCCATCATCTACAAAAACAACATCAAAGATCCAACCATAACCAGGTTAAGTAAAAAAACATCTAAAAGCTACAAACTCTCTACACTATCTTCTTTCATTTTCAAATTCAAAACCAGACAAACCCTAGCTATCCTGGAGGCATAAAAATGGCATACATGCTCAAATTTCATCAAACCAAACACAAACTAAAACAACGTTTGAAACCAATACTATAAAGACAACTTACAACAACTTGACTCTTCTTAGCCACATTAGTCCACTCCTTAGAGTGAACACCAGTCTTCCAATCAAAATCAATGGTCAAAGTAGTCTCCGGCTTATAATCAACGGCTGTGATGCACGCTACGTAACTCCCATTTTCGTAAGCAGTAAACGAGAATTGACCAGCCTCTACATTATCAGCTTCGTGCAAATTCTTCCCTTGTGGCGGCATCACCTACAATTAATCACAACATAGAAAAAAATTGAAAAAAAAAACTTCGATGTTAAATAAAATCTAAGAAGTGAGATTTGTGGTGAAATCTATACCTTGACGATGATCTTGTGAGAAGCAGGAAGAGGATGATCTTCGTTAGGGTTTACGATGAAGTATTTACCAACGGACATGGAGTTTTCGTGCATATCCTCGCCGATACATTTCGTTCTTGAAGACTTTAGCTCGTAACGCATTGATAGTGTCCTGGGAGATAACAACGCAATGATCAAAAGCAAAATCGAGCTTCGACGAAGATCCATGGCGGCTCCAGAGAAAAGACAGAGAGAGACAAAATCTTGCAGTAGTCAATGTTTTTTTTGCCGTTTCGATTAAGACAAAAGAGAGTCAAAGACGTTCTTTGCATACGTGTAATTATTTTATTGGTGAAGACACGTGCACAAGTCTTTTTTTGTCATGAGCATATTATGGGCTTTATAGATGGACTGGGCTTAGTTTTGTAGTGAACTTTGTCTTCTACCAGATTTGGGCTTAATATTGATTAATCAAACATTTCCATATTTTAAATTTAATAATTAACTTTTAAAATTTTTTATAAGATGATCCAAGAATAAAATGAGATCAATCTGTTGGGATTTTCAAGTTTTTCTGATTTTGAAAATTACACTCTTTGCAAAATTTTCGATAGTTTTTGAATAATCTAATTTCAAAGTAGGTATTTTTCTTTAGAAAATTTCAATTTTTCTCACGGGAAAAGAAACATAAACATAAAAAAACAAAACTTTGTACGGTCGTATCTGTATTTGTTGTCAGCATTTGTTTATGCATCACTTTTCCCACCGTTTCCCTCCTCGTGATCCTTTTTGGGATCTCTAGTCTCACTAATTTCTTAGTTTCGGAGAAACAATCCCACAAAGTTTCAAACTTTTGGCAAATTAAGCTGTTTTTTTTAGGTTTTAAATGTTTTTCCGATGATGAAGCGGCGATGATTGTCGTCGTTGGAGATAGATGGAAATTAGATCGGAGACTACTCTGATGCGGAGTGATTATAAGCCTCCTCTGAGTCAAGCAATTCCCAAAGCTCGATTACAAGTTTGGTTCTTTAGAGTTTGTTCTTGCATTTTGGTTTGGACTTGTTTGATTCAGCTCTTTTGGCATTCCCAAATCTTCACTGGTTTAACCAATCACATTTCTAGATTCTCTCTCCCGGTTGAATCAGTTCCATTACCGCCTCCTCCTCGAAGTTAGTTTTGTTGTGTCTTCTTTATTGGGTTTTGTTTTGGTGATTGAGAGATTTTAAGGTAAAGTTTGGATTTTTATTGCAGGGAATTATACAAGTAATGGGATTTTACTAGTTTCTTGTAATGGTGGTTTGAATCAAATGCGTGCTGCGGTTCGTGTAACTCTCTCTTCATTGTGTTTGCTCTCTCAATTTCAGAATTAGGGTTTTTTAATATCTTGATGCTTGTTTTGTTTGTTTCAGATTTGTGATATGGTTACTGTTGCTAGGCTATTGAATTTGACTCTTGTTGTTCCTGAGCTTGATAAAAAATCATTCTGGGCTGATCCAAGGTATATGTTTGTTGTCACGGTTCCAAGAAGTCTCGTGTCGATTGTGTAGCTAAAGCAATCTTGGTTTCTGTCTTTTACAGTGACTTTGAGGACATTTTTGATGTAAAGCATTTCATTGATTCGTTAAGAGATGAAGTTAGGATCATAAGGAGACTTCCTAAACGGTATAGTAAGAAGTACGGATACAAATTGTTCGAAATGCCGCCTGTGAGCTGGTCCAACGACAAATATTACTTGCAACAGGTTTATTTGCTACTTTCTTTGGTGTTTTGTTTTGCCTCCATGTGATGAATCTGAAATGCTTATGATCTGCGTCTTGATTGATCGGATTTTTTTTTTTCAGGTATTGCCACGATTCAGTAAACGTAAAGTTATACATTTCGTTAGGAGTGATACGCGATTGGCGAACAATGGTCTTTCTCTTGACCTTCAAAGGCTGAGATGTCGAGTTAATTTTCAAGGACTGAAATTCACTTCGCGGATTGAGGCTTTGGGATCAAAGTTAGTTCGGATTCTTCAACAAAGAGGGTCTTTTGTGGCTTTGCATCTGAGATATGAGATGGACATGTTGGCTTTCTCTGGTTGCACTCATGGTTGTACCGAGGAAGAAGCTGAAGAACTCAAAAAGATGAGGTAAAACTGTTATCTAGCTTGATATTCTCGTCTTTAATAAAATCTTGATTTCATGGTTCTCTTTTGTGTTCTAGGTATGCATATCCATTCATGGTTCTCTTTTATGTTCTAGGTATGCATATCCATGGTGGAGAGAGAAAGAGATAGTCTCAGAAGAAAGGAGAGTGCAAGGACTGTGTCCTCTAACACCGGAGGAGGCGGTTTTGGTCCTTAAAGCATTGGGGTTTCAGAAGGATACACAGATATACATTGCAGCTGGTGAGATTTATGGTGGTGCAAAGAGATTAGCCCTTCTAAAGGAATCATTTCCACGAATTGTAAGTTTTATCACTTTCAACATTATGCTCTTTCGAAATGATCAATTTTGGTGATGATAGTGACATGTCGGTTTCAGGTGAAAAAGGAAATGCTATTAGATCCAACAGAATTACAACAGTTTCAGAACCATTCATCTCAAATGGCAGCTCTAGATTTCATAGTATCTGTAGCCAGCAACACTTTTATTCCTACCTATTATGGAAACATGGCAAAAGTTGTTGAAGGTCATCGAAGGTAATACGAAACTCTGATTCAAGCTAAACTCTGATTCAAGCTAATTCTCAGCAAGATTCTTGAAATGAACATCTTTTTGCAGGTATCTCGGGTTTAAGAAAACAATCTTGCTAGACCGGAAGAGACTTGTGGAGCTTTTGGACTTACATAACAACAAAACGCTCTCTTGGGATCAGTTTGCAGTAGCTGTCAAGGAAGCTCATCAAGGACGACGAATGGGAGAACCAACACATCGGAAAGTTATCTCCGATAGACCGAAGGAAGAAGATTACTTCTATGCCAATCCTCAAGAATGTATCACTAACCACTAGAGCAGGATAAGTTTAGTTCTCGTTTCTTTCTTTGTTTATAGACCTTTTTCAGTTTCTGTAAAGTATGAGATGAAACTAAAAAGAATGTTGTTGTGTCATCTTTGTACCAAGAATTGGTATGATAATAAAATCTGGTTTAGTTACATTATCACTTGGTTTTCAAGAAGATGATTTGCTAGCTAACCAAACCAAGAAACTTATATCTATCGATTGGCCTGAGATTTTAAGAAACTTGCGGTTACTAGTTGGTGTACTCAGAGGCACTGAGATACTCGCCATGCTCCTCAAAGTATTCAATCATACGTTTGAGAAACGCATCACTGCTCACGGTCTCTGTATCGCAGACGATACAACACTGTCTTCTAGAGCGAGTAACAGCCACATTCATTCGCCTTTGGTCCTTTAAAAATCCAACCTCTTTCTTCGAGTTTGATCGAACCATGGAAATGATGATTGCTTCTTTCTCTCGACCTTGGAAACCATCCACCGTAGAGATCTCCATGTCCTTAAGCTTCTCCTCTTTGCCCCTAAGAATCCTAAGCAGCATAACCTGAGCAGCGTAAGGCGTAATAATTCCAATATCAGAAGGCTGAACTCCACTCTCCATTAGTCTCTTGGCATGTGCCATTGCAACCTCTGCTTCACCTTCGTTATAGGTGCTCTCTTCCTCATCTTTCTTCTCTTCCATGTCACACCCAGCAGTATCTACTAATAGTAGAGTCGCCTCTGTTGAAGAAGATTTTGTTACATTCTCCAAGTCAAAAAGCATGTGTGAGGCAACACTTGAATGCGCTGTTATCTTGTTATCGTAAAGCTCTTTCGATGACCAGTTCATTATAAGCTCATGCATACGATACTGGACAGTAAGCATGGACTTGATCTCATCTCCATAAAGATCCGCTAGCCGTTCAAAGAGTGTTCTCCCTAATCCTTTCCTTTCAGCTTCAGCACTTTGGATTGTCGGTGGGAGTTGGAGATGGTCTCCTGCAAGTATACATCGTGAACCCTTTAGCAGAGCTATCCAGCATGCTACCTCAAGAGCCTGTGCTCCTTCATCGATGATCACTAAGTCAAAAGTTCTATTATCGAGCTTCCGTGTTAATGCACCAGTCAAAGTTGTGAGAATGACATCAGCATTCTTGATCACGTCTGATACAGCTAACTGCTGTCTTTTACGCTCTTCCTTACCCAGAGTTCGAAGCTCCTTCTGGATTTCTCTCCTTGTGTTTTTATCTTTCGCTTTCAACAACTTCCCGTTTAGTGCCTTCATTTCCTTTCTGATATCATTCGCAAGACCGCTGTTATCTCCCTTTAGAACCTGAGCATCTAGAGCACTATCCAGCACCTGAGGTAAAAGCCGTGCAGGATGCCCGACCCTCACCAGCTTAACTTTATGAGGAACAAGTCTCTCAACAATATTATCGACTGCAATATTCGAAGCTGCACAAGCAAGAATCTTTGAACCGCGTTTAACTTCTTGCAAAACTATTTCCACAACCGTCGTTGTCTTCCCAGTACCAGGAGGACCATGTAGTAAGAACACATCCTTTGAAGATAAAGCCTTTGTAATAGCATCTTTCTGCGATTGATCAAGGTTCTTGTTAAAAGGGGTAAAGGACTTAACATCCTTCTTAGACACTGAAGGTTGTCTCTCACCAAATAAAACCGGCACTAAATCAGAAGCAGGTCCTCTTAACACACCTTTACTCAGCTGTACCAACGTATCTTTCATTCTGCGATACGTCACCTCATTCGCAAGTTTCTCCAACCGAAGAGAAGTGTTTAACCCTTCCTCCGGAATCTCATCAAAAACAACAGTAATCGAAGAATCCTTTAACCGATAAACAACTCCTTGTGCAAGCGGAGACGAACCAAGATCAGATTTATTCAGTTTCAACACAACCACATCATGGTTACCAAACTTGTGAGCAGGAAGAACATCTCCTTTGTTTGATTGAAACTCAATAAGTGATTTCCCCATTAGACCTGTTTGAACATCAACACATTTCAAATTGAGAATCGTTGTGCCTTTCTTCTGAGCAGTTTCAATGTTCCTTGAAGCACCAGTGCTTAAAGACATTGAGATCTCAGCTTCTTTCTCCATGTCAATAAGTGGAGCCATTGTTGACACAAAAGCTTCAAGAGACATCGCAGATCCTTGCTTCTTGGCCATTTCCAAGCGTTAATTTCTCTGAAATGAAAATACATGATTTCAATTAGTACACATTTGAGAGATACTATACAAAACAACATCTCTCAGTCTACAAGATTCACAGAAATTTCAAGATCCTAAATTACGAAATTGAGAAACTCAGAGGAATCCAAATTAACATAAATCTATATTAGCCGCAGAGAGAAATGACGTTGTAATGGTTTCTACTCACCAAAAGAAGGATTTGTTCTTCTCCGTTGATTTCTTCTCGGCAACTGAATATGAAGAACAAAACCCCAGAAATCACCGATGAGGAAGACGAAGTGTGAGAATCGTTGTGGAAATTGGAAGATGAAGAAGAAGTAAAGAAGATGGTAAAGAGGCACACGCATTTCTCTCAAACTCTCGAGCGTTACCTTATAATGGGCTTAGATTTTACATATATATTGGGCTTTAACGTTTCGTTTTAGGCCCATTTTTAATGTAGTATGTTTTGGGGATACATAGTTTTTTTTTTTTTTTTTGGACAAATGGGGATACATAGTAAGTTTCGTTTTAGATCACTTAATGGTGTCAATTTAATTTCAGCAACATAAATTTGTGCAAGACATACAAAATTGTTTCCCTTTTTCGAACAAGAGAACACATATATGGATGTCCGATAAAATTGGAACGATAAGCATGTCTATGCGCATGGATGAGCACAAATCGAGAAATGGTCCAAATGTTTTTGGAAAAAAAAAACACATATATATGAAACGTACAAAAGGTAAATTGATTGATCCTACATAAAATTTGATTGAAAAGTTTGTTTCAATGGTTTTAAAAGGTAAGTTAAAAGTTTTTTTTTACATTTTATTGATCGTATTGAAGTTTTTTTTCGGGTTGTATATTAGATTTACTCATAGTAGACGGATTTGGTGGCCAAGGAAAACATATTTTTCTCTTTTCTACTCATAATGAAAAGTACTTTTCTCTGCTTGACTCGTCCACAATGGCCAATGGGCAGTGGCGGATCTAGGAAAATTGTTTGATGGTTTCAAAATAAGTTTGTTCAAAAAAATTTACAACCCGATAAAAACTGTAACTATAAATAACATCCAAAGAAAATTCATTACAATGCCGATATATCAAAGACCTTCATCTTAAAGATGTATCAAATGAATTGGGTATTTGGATTGAATATTTATACATATAATGGGTTCAAACTTACAAATGAATTGGGTTCTAAAAATTGGGTTGGGTTCAAGCTTCATAATGAAACTGATATATATTAAAATTTTAATATAATTAAAACGTTTTTACAAATTTTAATGGTGTCAAATGCACCCACTAACTTCAACGTGCCTCCGCCACTGCCAATGGGTATTGTTGTACTAAATATATATTGTGAAGACTTTGTTACTATGGTAAACGGCATTGACAATGTATATTGATGGATTCAAAACTCGAATATTTCATTTATTGAAAATAGAAAGTAGCCTTTGCAATATATAATATACACATTTACAGCGACACATAACATTGATTAATGACTTGGTAAAAGTATTACATGTAATTCAAATTGAGACATTTTAACAATCATGTGGTTAAATTAATATTAAAATGGTTACAAGTTACAACGTATATATATACTGAAAGATGATTAATTAAGAGTTTTATCTAAAAAGAGTACTAAAACATAAGCTGATGTAAATTTTGAGATTAATGTATAAGATCACAATTTGTCGAATCTAGGGAAAGCTTTGACATCGTCAATGGATCAGAATAGCGATATACATGAATGATAGTGTGTCTGTAATCGATTAAAACCTCGCTTAATTTTGTTATGGATCATCTAATAGCATTTCTCATATATTAGGTATTATTTATTTGATAGAATTGCATTATTTATGTTTGTCAAGCAACATGGATTGAAACCTCGATTAATATATCATGGATCATTTAATCCACAAGATCGGTAATACTCGTATGCTCTAATATTGACTATTGCATCACTCGAGCGACAATTTACAAGTGGCTCAGCTTCTTGTGATTACTAATGTTTAATGTAAACAATAAGATAACGTTTCACAAAAATATCGACCGTGTCGTATTTTCCAGCTATAACAATTTATTTTAAAACTAAATTTCTACACAATTGGTCATATATAACTATAAGTCACTACATTTGCTTCTGTTTCTGTATATATAAACTTCCTTTTTGTATTTCTTTCGGACACAACAAGAAAGATTTCAAAACAAGAAATCTAGAGAAAGAGTAAGATGAAGTTTGGTAAAGAATTGTCGTCACAAATGGTACAAGAGTGGCAACAAGCTTACATAAGCTACGATTATCTCAAAACCCTTCTCAAAGAAATCACCAAACTCAAACAAAAAACCAACCCTCCTCCTCCACATCATGCTGTCTCCGGTGAAGGAATTAGCCGGAAAATGACCCTATATCGAGCATTTAGCGGTCTTGTTCAAACGCCGGGAAAGAAAAGACAAAGCTCCGGTCAATCCAATTATTCCTCAGAAACTGATATCGAAGAAGGTAATCTTAAGTTTCATAGGTTGCTAACTCAAAACTAACTAGTAACGAGTGGATTAGTCCATGTTTTTTTTTTGTGTTATCCTAAGTTTGTTTTTATTTCCGATGTGGGATTCCTAATAGGTAAGGCTCCAATACTTGTTAACAAATCGACTCATGGACTAGAGACGACGTTTCTAATGACAGCAGAAGAAGGAGGAGAGTATGAATTGGTCTTTTTCCGGAGACTCGACGATGAGTTTAATAGAATTGAGAAATTCTATAAAGAGAAAGTGGAAGAAGTAATGAAGGATGCGATTATGCTTAATAAGCAAATGGATGCTCTTATTGCATTTAGGGTTAAGGTGGAGAATCCTACTGGCTGGGGATGGGAGGAACGGACGGTGGAGATGACTCGTTTGGCCTCCGATATCGCGACTTCGACGGCAGCGATCGCGGCTACTACACCCGCCAGAACTCGAACCAGTAAGACAATTAAAGCAGTTAATTCTGTTTTTCTTTTTTTACATGCAGTAATTAAAACAGTTTCAACTTGAGAATATTCTTCCTAACATTATTTATTTACAATTTGGAAGTTCTTATATGATCAAACTTTAATTTAATTTCTGTGACAACAATTAGTCTGCGTCAATTTATGACCATTTCTAATGTCTGTATAAACTTCTGAGTAAAATTGACATCACTATTTAAAAATAATAATAATTGACATCACTAATAAAATCCGGTTTATAAAAGCTTTTATCATAACCGGATCGCCAATTTGAAATTGATGAATTTCTATATCTCCCTCGCGTTTGGTTACAGTGAATCCTCGAGGTCAAGCTCACATGGAGGCTATACAAGAAGGAAGCTTCACCAGAGAATACGAAGAAGAAGATCACGCCTCCGTCGGCGGAGCAACCGGCAACGTGAAAACGACGAGCAGCTTGAACACGATGAGAGGCTCAAGGCCAGCACCAATCGAAGTTCTAGATCGCATCAAGATCAACAACACTAAAGCAACGCCTCGGTCCACCATTAAAGGCGTCCTTAATTCCTCAAGCCAAAATGAGATCAAATTCAATAGACAAAACTTGAACGAAGTCGAAGAGAAGCTCAAATTCGCCTTCATCGAGTTTTACCAGAAGCTTCGTCTCCTAAAAAGCTACAGTTTTCTGAATGTGTTGGCGTTCTCGAAGATATTGAAGAAGTATGATAAGGTACAGATTGGTTAGAGATCGAGATTTTGATTTGAGAGTTTTTCTTTTTTTGAAGTATGACTGAAAGGTGTTCGACGAAATTACTCTGAGACAGATAACTTCAAGAAACGCTTCAAAGTCTTATATGAAAATGGTTGATAATTCGTACCTTGGAAGCTCTGATGAGGTAAACTTGATTAGTTTAGTAACTCCATTGATTCCTCTGTTTTTTGATTCCTCTGTTTTTGATCTTCTCGTATGTCGCAGCTAATGAAACTCATACAACGTGTTGAATCCACATTCATAAAGCATTTTGCAAATGGTCATAGAAGAAAAGGAATGAACATTTTACGACCTCAGATGAAAAGAGAGAAACACCGAGTTACATTCTCCACCGGTAAAATCAGATATTCAATATGTTGTTTAGTGTTTTCCTTGTCAATTTGTGTTTATGAGGAATTTGGGTTTCAGGTTTCTCTGCTGGATGTGTGTTTTCTCTTATCGTGGCTCTTGTTGCCATAATACGCACCCGGAAAACCATGTCGGAAGAAGTACATAATACTTACATGAATACTATGTTCCCTCTCTATAGGTAAAACTTACTTTGCCTCTTATTTTGAGCTTTTTGAGGTGAATCTTTTGTTTAGATGCACTCTCTCTGTCTTCTCTGTTTTTCCTGCAGCTTGTTTGGGTTCATCGTGCTTCACATAACTATGTATGCTATTGATATATACTATTGGAAGCGTTATCGAGTAAATTATGCCTTCATATTTGGGTACAAGCAAGGAACTGAACTTGGTTACAGACAAGTTTTATTTCTGGGATTCACCATTGGAACTTTTGCGTTGCTTTGTGTTCTTGGAAATCTTGATATGGAAGCAAACCCCAAAACCAGAAATTACAAACCATTAACCGAACTTCTTCCTCTATTCCTTCTTGTTGTAAGTCCGTAAATCAAAATTATTTAGCTTCTTTACGCAAACTCAGCTATAAGATGGAACTAACTCTATACGATGTTTGTTTTAGGCTCTGTTTGTAGTTTTAATCATGCCATTCCATTTTCTCTACCGCTCAAGTCGGTTCTTCTTCCTCACATGTCTGTTTCACTGTCTTGCTGCTCCTCTTTACAAGGTAAAAGACAAAAATATAACGGCTTATCAATGTTGGTAAACATATATGGTTACTAATGCTTTCTCAATGCAGGTAACGTTACCCGATTTCTTCTTAGGAGATCAATTAACTAGCCAAGTACAAGCTCTTCGAAGCATCAACTTCTACATATGCTACTATGGTTGGGGAGACTTCAAACAAAGAGAAAACACCTGCGAAGCCTCAGACATCTACAAATATTCCTTATACATTGTTGGAGTAATCCCATATCTTTCCCGCCTCCTTCAGGTACAAAAAGTTTCTTCAAAAGACACATACATGTCTAGAGCAATTCGATAATATTATCTCTGTTGTTCAATTGGTGCAGTGCATGCGACGGATGATTGAGGAAAGAAGCCTTGATCAAGGATACAACGGAGTCAAGTACTTGTTGACAGTAATAGCTGTTTGTTTAAGAACAGCTTATGGCTTCGAGAACGGAAAGGAAAAGAAGAATCATACTAATATCTTAAAACTCAAAGTGTTAGCTGGTTCTTCCTCGGTTCTTGCTGCTGTTTTCTGTACATACTGGGACTTTGTTCATGATTGGGGACTT